CTTTTCCCGTAAGCCTTGGAACTAATTATATGTGCTCATCTCTCTCTCTCTCTCTCTCTCCCGGCGGTTTGGGTTTCAAAGCTTCACTCGCTCACGTTTTTCTCTTTTGATATGTTTTGGTATGTTTTTCATTTTAATCTAAATTTTTGGGGATACGTGTACTTTTTATCGCTTTCATTACTTTAAAGCAACAGCGTAAAAAAATACAATTGACATGCAACATGCCGTTACGAATATTTGAAAAATCCAGCGAAAAACAGGAAAGAGATATGACTGACTTTTCCTTTGCGTGTCGATACGACTCTCTTCTCGCCTGTGTGGCAACTGTCTCGGTTTTGCAAAAGACTGACAGCTGCTATGCAACTAAATGCAGTCCATCCAGACCGGTTTCGGCGATTACGTCTGAACAAACGAGCTCGCTCAGTGAAAGAGAACTTTTTCGTCCTTTCAAAATCGAAGAAATTGATATTTCGTAATTTTATCAATAACTCTTAACCAAAAAATAACGTATTAATTTTCAACGTCTATATAAATTCGATCAAGTTTTGTTATTTTTCTCACGTGAAATATGAAGACTGTAAATCATCACTAATCATCACAAATATTCATCACGAAGAATATTAATCTTCGAATAAATATTATATTACATATAAAATTAACGTATCAATTATAAAATTAAATCATTATATTTCAATAGTATTTGCGAGCGATCGACATGTGGAATTTCAAGCGAAATTCCGAAATCTCTTTCGTTCAAATTTCAAGGGGCGACGAAGAGGCTCAAGGGCGTGTGTGAGTGCACACGACACGTGCTTCCTCTCTCTCTCTCTATTTCAAGTTTTTTTATCCCTTTTTGTAGTTGTTCAAGTCTCTTCGATTCGATTGAGAAACGAGAGAACGGAGCGAATATGTCCGGCAGCTGTCGCGTGGCCGCAGTAAAAGCACATCTGCTAGTTTGGTACCTACTTCTTCCTGCCGAGCCCTTCGCTTGAACTGGTTTATCCTTAAGGACCTCCGCTCATTCGCTTTCCTGTCGTTATTATTTCGCAGAGCGGCGCTCCAATCGATTCTCGTCCCTTAAACTTGTCTTGATCTCTCCACGACGACCATCTGCCCGCTCCGTAAAAGGGTTCCGCCCAATTCTCGGCAGACGAATGGAAAACCGTGTCTTTTCAAAAACCCTTTACTGACCTTTTGTCAAATCTCACGTTTCGAAAATCTTAATATCGCCTATCGTGTTCTTGGCAACAAAATATCAATATCTTAATTTTTTTTTTTTTTTTTT